ACGACTGCCAGCGTTAGATTCTGCATTGGGATCGTGGATGACGCGTACGTTTCCTTATCTTCCTTTTTGGGTCGGGAACTGATGTATGCGAATTAGGACCGACGCGTTGTTCATGTGTTATTGCTTGGACTATGAAGCTGGTGGGACCCCTAGGAAGGACGTAAAAGAAGCTGTGAGTCCTAGACCCTGAATTGGATGCTGTAGACACTTATGGTCTGTTGTAGTTTGAGGGAGCGGCGCGTAGGGTCACTGTATAGTCTCATCTACCATACAGACTTGCCTCCCTTGCATAGACTCTTGCTTAGATCAAACCGCCCTGTCCTTACACGCATTTTTAGATCCTATCCTGCACTCACTGTAGCCCTTGCCTGCAACTTCGTCATCTTACTCATCTTCCAGACTAGTTTTCATTCTGTTTTGGCAGTTGGTTTCGCAATATTATCGAATTCTGTGAATGACTTTTCGTGAACCATAAACTGCATGACTTCGATAGCAGGCCCTTTAAGGACACAAGGACTGTCCTTATCAGTCGGGTGGCAAATTTGAGTGCCACCAGCCATGTCACGTGAAAGCTTCCTTGGCTCAGTTGGTAGAGCGTTGGTCTCATATATTAGGTGTGAGTAATCTTAGAAGGGTTATCCAATCCAAAGGTCGCCAGTTCAAGCCTGGCAGGGAGCATTGTTTTTCTTTTTGTGGGGTTCCAGAATTGTTTTTCTGTAAATTATGCAGTGGTCACGTGGTATAAAGATATCCTGCGTCGGTCTCGGCGTCTTGACGTTTACAATCGACTACCACTATGGGCCTGCCACTCGAATTGCCGTCAGCCCCGATTGTTTACCAGGGTGGTTTACCGGATGTAAGGCGGATTTTGAATAGTCACCTTATTTTAGGACAATCAATCAAGGAATGTATGGAGATCACTCAGGATCGACAGCACGTCAACTTGACCTTTTTCGATGACAGCCTATCAGAAAGGGTAAGCCTCATGTTTGCGATACCCTGTCAGCCTTCTTTCCGATCCTCCAACGTCGAAGCAGATAATTCACGGCGATCCTGATTCCTGATGAATCTGGCCAAGTGCTCGACTGGCCGGATTGCACAAGTGGACTATACCCTGGCTAGACTGTTGGAATTTCTTGGAACCGCGCTCTATCGTGCACATAATTGACCTAGGATTGGCTACATACCCATATATGCGTGCGAGGGACTTGGTTCTCACTCACCCCGACTATTTTAGCTTCTTGACGTTTTTCGGCTCAATGACGGCCAATCACATCTCTCAAAGATCGAATCTTCTCGACGCGGTTATGCCATAGAATTGCCAAAGACATCCGGACAGATCGAGGTTTCCTATATGCTCAAAAACATGCTTCTAGTCATTTGTCAATTTGTTGTGTTGACATGAAATGTTCGCATTATTTCTATAAAACCTGCCGTCCTGGGACTAATTCTCTGTCCAGTTCACTTTCGATCACTTATGCGGGCTGCGTTCCTCACAGTTTCTCTCGCTCTCGTCAGCGCCTCGCTCGCCTTCCCTACTGGCACCGGGGCCAACGCTGCTGGGTGCCCCTTTGCTAAGAGTGGCTCCCAGGCTAAGCGTCAAGCTGGCACCTTTGACCCGGTCAAACAGCGGATTGATGTCTCTGGGGAACACGAGTTTCGGCCACCTGGGCCAAACGACAAGCGGGTGAGCATTTTCTTCATTCTACTTGCGAGTGACACTTTTACTTATCTACATTTGTAGGGTCCATGCATGGGTTTAAACGTACGTCCTAGCTAGGTTGTGCGATCGGTGGTATTGACATTGTTGAAAAGGCTTTAGCGAACCATGGCTTCATCAGTCGTAATGGTGTAGTAAGTACACGGTTCGGTTGATGTTTACAATCCGTTTACAATCCTTTTCCCCTCCAGGCGACATTAGAAGAAATAGTCTCGGCGAGTAACAAGGTGTTCGGTATGGGAAAGGACGCCGGAACCATTTTTACTACCCAAGGAAGTAAGTAATTTCATGTTTACTGTGTGGGGCAGAGTTTGATAGGTCACAGTCCTTTACGGAGGAGATATGGCAACGGAAGTTCTTTCTATAGGTATGCACGTTTGACTCCCTGGTGAGCCGATATTAATGAACATACCGCAGGAGGTCCCAATCCCTCACCTGGTCTGAGCGGCACCCACAATCAAATGGAGGGGGATGCATCCCCCACACGTAATGATGCATACATGAATAATGGTGACGGTAACACCTTGAGCCTAGAATATTTTAAGCACCTTTATAGCCTGCTTCCAGGTGAGGCATTTCTGAAACTATAGATTTCACGCTCTTATTGAGAGGATATGGACGCAGAGGGCGAAGACGCGAGCTTTGATATGTCGGTCATGGCCAAACAGCGGAGGTGGACTAGGGAAAAGTCTATT